GGGAACAGAGGAAGAGGAAGGCCTCCTCTGCGTTGGAAAGACCAGGTGGAGAAGGACTTGGCTTCACTTGGCATTTTCAATTGGCGTCAGTTAGCACAGAAGAGATATGACTGGCGTGCTGTTTTGGACTCGGCCAAAATCGCTTAGGCGGTTACAGCGCCAAATAAGAAGAAGAAGAAGAACTAATCGTTACGCAGGGCGTTTCTTCAATTTGTAACAAATCTTTAAATGAAGGCAATGAACCACTTATTTTAACGGTGGAAACTTCTGGTGTGCCAGCTGAACAAGCGTCAGCAAAGTCGTCGTCGGAATCTACTTCAGAATTTAAAATATCTTCTTTTATAAGAACTGAAAAATCTTCGGGTACTAAAACTTTACACCCAATTTTTTGAAAACACTGAAGTAGTTTTTCTCTGCACCGCGGTAATCTTTTAATTATAGAAGCTGGCTTGTTTCGTTGTTGCTCCGAATTTTTTACTTGAATTAAAATATCGTTGTAAGTTTCGATTAAATATTTTTTATATTCGTCAACTTTTCCCGATTTGTTGTAAGTGGACGGCTTTGAAGAACACGCTTGGTAACTTTTGAAAATTTTGCTTGTAAATCTTTGAATACAAGTTCGACATCTGACATCTGGCACACACGCAAAGCAAAAGATCTAAAAAGAAAACTATCGAACTATTGTATTATTGAAAAAAAAAATTTGAATAAAGTTGTAATATTTGAAGTTTGGCTACCACGGCATAGAAAACTGAGGAAAACGTTTATTGATAATTATAATCGTTGAAATATTTTGCCATATTTCAAACGAAACTCTAAAAGTTGTAGTATAAAAGCACGGCAATGGCACAGGCGAAAATTCGAATTTTTGAAAAAAAAAAAAAAATTAATGAAAATCCCAAATCTGACCCTTGCCTAATGTTGCAAAGAATTGAAGAAAAATTTTAGTAAAAACTTTAAATTGTTCAAAAGTTAGTTACGTTTCACAAAAAAATATATTAGTATTTGCACATGACTGTAGCACTGAAGCTGAAATTCCAAAAGAAAAAACAGTAACATATATGTGCATATGTAAATGTGTGTATTGAAAGTAATTTAAAATATTTGAGTATAATACAGATGTAAAATGAATGTAAGTAATATAAGTTTGAAAATTTTGAATGTAAAGAAATTTTGAAATTTTGAATATAATACAGATGTAAAATGAATGTATTTTATATAAATGTATGTACATTGCTTTATATGTATACAAGTGGAAGGTTTTAAAATTTAAAGGAAATTTTGGTCGAAATTTGCATACTGTGCACCATACATACTGCAAACCGTTATGCTGTGCTTTCCTGCTCGCTCTTGCTAAAGTTGGCGTTGTTCTGCATACCGCTACTCGTTACTGTTCAGTGTCAAAGTGGCGTGGTTTTACGTACAGTTATATGTACGTACATATACTGGTTATTACGGTGCTGTGGCGTACTGTGGCAGTACTTTCAAGAAATTTTAGCTGTTTTACTGTGGTTTTTAGTTTCTCGTTTAGTTTGCAATTTTCCCGTTGTCAGAAATTATAGTTTTTTTTCACGTTCCACTGTCTTTAGCTGCCACCACCATAACCGTTTTTGCAAAGTTTTTGTTCACGTTCCACTGTCTTTAGCCGCCAACCACAACTAATTTTTGGAAAAGTTTTTGTTACCAGCCACCGCACTTGCTTATTTATAACCTTTTTCGTTTTGCATTTCATAAACGTTTTAGTTTGTAATTGTTGTTTTAAATATTGGTACTACCGATTTTTTTTTAATTTTTTGCTTTTTAATTTTTTTTTGTAATCTTTTTCAAGTTTTTCCCTTTTTTTGTAGCAATCTTTGAAAGTTTTTCCTTTCCTTTGTAATAATGTTTTTTTGATAAGTCTCTTTTCAGTTTTATTTAGTACACCGCAATTTCGCGGGATGGACCCACGGTCGCCATGTCGAAGTGGTAAAATTCCACTTCGTTAGTTAACGGGGGTACCTCTGACACGTGGAGCCCAGGTGCTCCTCTGGCGCTGCTGCCGGCCAACGCCCGACTTGTCAAGGGCAGTGCTGCTGCCTGCTTCTCGCGGAGCCCTGGTGCTCCGCCGGCTCTGATGCCGGCCAACGCCTGCTTGGTGCTGTCGGTCCCAAAATAATATAAATTAAAATCAAACTTGACTTTCCGTGTTGAAGTAAGCGAATTGAATGACGCTAATCTTTATTTTGCATTTCGTCTTCACCTTAGTTTCTTACATATGCAGGGTTGCATTCTTAATATCGTAAATTCTTAGTTCTTAATTGTACTAGATTAGCCTAGGGCGTATTCATATAAGATGGTTTGTAGTAATTTAGTAGGGTTGCAAATTGTATGCTTTTATCGCATGACAATGTTATGTCAGGATTCCTTTTCATCTTCCGCTCAATACCAACCAGACGATGCATCGCCATGTCATAACTTTCCGGCAACACGATTCCATCGGACTTCCACAGAATCCCTGTCTGAAATCGATCGCCAACCCTAACGGTAGTCTCTTCTAGGATTCGTCGTGCACGCACTTCATCTGCACTTTCAATAAGTTGCAAAAGTTTTGCCCCGAAAGACTCGGTAGAGAAATATTCAGATACCATCTCGTGCAACGGCGGATCAGGAATACATCTGGTATGTAAACAAACCGGTTCTTTCATCGGCCTTTCTACTGGCCCGAATACAGCCCAACCTAGCTCGGTGTGGGCGGCATAGGGCCCAAGACACTTGGAACTCATTAAATGTGTGGGCAGACCGAGATGATCGAGCCCAATCAGTATAGAAGGCGGGACATCTTTATACGGCTGCATTGGTAATTTCCCTCTATGGCGTGCAAAGTCAGGAATGTCACGTTCGCGTATGGCGTTACTTCATTCCCTCTCCGCTGACCTCGATATCGATATGGCAACCGCTTGCCTGGCGGCCTTCCCGCCAAACCATTGAATGTCTACGTCCTGGCACTGACCGCTAACGCCTAGCTCTTCCATCATAGTAATTGATGACCCTACGTCCAGAAGTGCATATGTGTTAACACTCTTTTTGGGGCCATATAGAGTAACTGACAGCACTCGGAAGAGTATGTCGCTGTTGAGCGTGGACGAGCAATTCAATACCGGATTATTTTTTTTCACCTCAGGTGAAGTTACTATTGGCTTGCGAGTCGACTCAGTAGAATCCTTTGAGGCGAGTGATCGAGCCGGAGAAGATGCCTCGGTTCCGTGCAATAATTGATGGTGGTTTCTCAGACATCCGTCGACCTGACATGCCTTACGGCGACGATATTCTCGAGTAGCATGCTCGGTTTTTAAACAAGCCCGGTTTGAAGCAGAGTCGAAGCTGTTTGGCCTTATTCCGCCTCTCTAAAATAGAGGCATCTTTAAATCGTTGTCATTCCGAGACGTTGTGTTCGTCTTGATATAATGAGCATTTGGCTTGTTCATCAGTTGCGGCGTGTAATATCGCACGGTGTTTCGTATCCGGAACGTCGGGCTCCATAACTATCTGGACGTAATCTGAAACATCGGTCAACCATGAGTTGAAACTTACGATGGTTGGGTATGGCCTTACAATAACCGCATAACGTGCCCACTCCAGGCGTCCAGGAGAGTAGGGTTCGCTAAATGTCTCTTTTCCCCCATTGAATGCAGAAATATTGTCAGATTGTTAGTGAAGGTAGAAAATTGCACGATTTGTCCTGTTGCTCCCTCTGAATCTTTTGGCGTATCTCGGACCTGCTTCATTTGGCTACGTATTAGTTGCTCTGGTCCTCCGAATCGGAAACGAAGTGTTCCTTGACGGCATTGACGTTATTCAGTTGAATCCATAACGCTTTGACGGCATCTCGTGCGGCACCTTTAAGGCATTTATTTAGTCGCTGATTGTTATCAAAGTTTGAGTATCCATACACGGGAGTCGATTCTGTATAAGCTGCATAGAAGACTGGCCAGTCTTCTAGCTGCCCAGAAAACTCGGGTAAATCACGAACTTGTCTAGGCGTTAACATCATCATGTTTTGGCCGCGGATCATGTTAAGCTGCTGCGGCGGTAAGGTGTGATGCACCGTCGCGGACGTAGCTTGACGTCGCCCTACAACTCCTGCCAGTTGTTGTTGCCGCTCGGTAATCTGTTACCAGATACAGAGTAGTTGTCTGTGGCGATCGTTGGCGCGTATGCGGGAAATAGCGAGGCAACGACTTGCGATGGAATATGCGCACTGTAAGGAATAGCGCTCGATGCTGTAGGCCCATAAGACAATGGCGGCAGGGTACTGGAAGTAATTGGCTTATAAGCATCCGTAGCTGGTGGCGAACAAGTTATTGGCGGTACAGCGGGTACTGCCGTTGGTGCCGGTATACTGGACGGCGGATAGCGCTTTATGGCTGGCGAACCGCCGGACACATCCGTGATGTAGGCAGTAGGTGGCGGACCTGACGGCATTACTGTTGTAGACAGTGCAGCTGGCGAAAATATTTGCGTGTGAGTATTGGAAGATACAAAGGTGGCAACTGGATCATGACCATAAAGTGCTGTATTGCAAGATGCGGCTGGCATATACACATAGCGCGGAGGACCAGGCGGTACTGCTGGAATATGTTATGCAGCTGTGTGGGTGGGCAAGGCCAGGCAGCATGCAGGCATGCTTGTGGGCCCTAGCTAGCTCTTCGTTCGAGGGAGTTCTTCCTACCTACCCTGCCTCTTAGCTACATAAAAAAAATTTGCATCATGCCTGGTTATTAAACAATTCAAGAAAGAGAAGAAGCCAGCAAGAGAATAGGAAGCCAGCTAGAAGGAAAGTCGCTTAAAAGAAAGAGAGCCAGTCCGGTCAGGTGGAGTCGTCCCACCCCTTCTACGTGTACTCCGCGAAGCCTTGGGCGCTGCTGCAACTCCTCTACTTTAGCAGCGCCCCTAACCCTGACAGTGGTCCGTATGTCAATTAACAGTCAGTCAATGTCCTCTCGATGTCATCATTATTATGTCCATACCCCACGTACCCTCCGTTGCACTAGCGCAATACACACACCAAATAAACAAAGATCTAGCACTTCATTTCACCTTATATGCCACTCTCATATCGAGATCTAAAAACCTTGTATTCATGTACATGTTTTGTTTCTACTTTTATTTCAACCACCTATCTCTATTTTTGTCTCAACTAACAATTCTGAATTATTCTTAGTTCAGTACTATAATGCAACTGTAATATAAACACTGATAAAAATGAGTAAGAAAAAAATCTAACCAACGTAAATTCCAAATGAAAATTAATTACTAAAAATCCAAAAACAACGTTCTTTAATTTAAATATTTATGCAACAAGAGAGAAAAACTCGCGCATCCTAATGCCCAACAGGGTAAATGCATATGTTTATAAGTAAGCGTATATGTCTGTATGTATGAATATACCAAATGTGGGGTTATCAAAAAGACGCATTCATGCTTAGGATCAACAAACTTAGGTATATATTTACATACGCATGCATATGCGAATGACCCAATTCTTTAATTTTCATTCAGGCAACTATGTACGTAAATATGTATGTATGTATACAACAAAAAGCAAACAGAAATGCACTCACCTGTAGGGCTGCCAGGTCCCTCTGGGGCAAAACCGGGACACTTTGAAAATTCAAGAAATAACACCCCCCCCAAAAAAAATTTACATATTTTTATTTACGCACATAAGTATTATTTTTATTTACACAACCAAAAATAAAACCGTAAAGAAATGATATACCTTCCAGGTACTCTAAAAAAGCTAATCATAACTACAAATCAAAATAAATACTTTTAAAGTGGTTCATATAAATAAGTAGGTACATATGTATCTATGTATGTATATTTAAATACTAGGTTTCGTGAATGGAACATTTTTTACATAAGTATAAAAGGATAAAATTAAACAAACATATATTTTTCGTTGCGCAGAACTTGTTCCAAAACTTCTGGCTTATTTTTAATATAATTGTAAAATTCTGTGCAAGTCAGTCTTAAGTTGAATTTGCATTGAATAATACTCTCTAAGGTACTGATATTCAACGAATTTCTTTCCTTTGTCCATTGAGATGAAATAAGAGAAAAAATTCGTTCAGCATTAGCATTATGACCAGGTATCGGATATAAATATTGAACTATTTTAAGTAATTTTTTTTTTCTCTCCTTTTCTTTAGTTTTGTTAAAAAAATAAAGCCATTTTTCATTTAGATTTTTACATTTAAAATCATCAGTTTGACTTTCTATAAATTGCTTTAAATATATTACCTCTTCAAAGCAGTCATCAGAAATTGTTATATTTTTTTTACTTAAATACATTACAGTCATTTGGACTTCTTGCCAAGTTGTTTCATTCTCCAAAGTCATCCAACTAAAAACGCTATATTCATTGAAATGGACACTCCACTCTTCCAAGTAACTATTTGCTACATCAAAAAACCTATTTACATCTTCAAAATCTAAAATTCCCCCTGCGTATATATCGCCTCTCTTCTTTAACTGCTCTAAGATAATGGTTGCTTGGTTTCCTATAAATTTATTTTCATGTCTGACCTTTAAACTTTCTTTAGTTTCATTTAGTAGTTTTTGCACTTCGATAATTGATATAGCCGATTTTTCAAGTTTGTTAATTTGTTTTTCAAATAAAAACGATTGGCAATGAATAAATGACATGTACACTTCGGATAAAGCATTCTTGAAAAAGTCCGTAATAACTTTAGGAGCATTCTTTTCATTCGAAAAAAAGTTTTTCTTTTCTTTCTATTGCAGGTACCAGTGAGAGCCACCGTGTTTTACTATAAGAAAGAATTGATCTGTACATTGTGTCCGCATTATCACAAAAATCTTTAAGCCGCTCCGTTCGCACAGTGAATATCGAAAAGTATTTATATATCTTAAATAAAACAGACTCTACATCTATTGACATTACATCCACTGCACTAGAAATTGTATTGTGAAGTATATGAGCAGGGCAACCTACGCCCTCAATGCTTTTCCCTGAAACTTCTTTTAATTTACAAAATATATTATTTAGTCCCTGTCTTTTTCTTCCACCAAAGTTGGTATTGGTATTATCAGCACCAAAAGCTACAAGGTTTTGTAATGGTATTTTGTGATGACTTAATGTGTCTACACAAAATGACGTTACAGAATCTGCAGTTTCATTAGGTAAATTTGTGAGTTGTAATAATTTTACTTGTAAACCTTCTTTTTCCGTGAAAAAGTGAACAAGCAATGGAAACATTTTTTCGGCTTTGTGGTTGTTGGCGTCCGTTGAAATTCCATAAAAAGGCACATTTTTTATTAAAATATCTACAAAGTTTGCTACTAAATGCGGAGCCAAAACATTTTTGATTAAAGCTGTTGCTTTGGTCCTGCAAACTGATTGCTTTGCTGCTATCTCCGAATCAGGATACATGAGCGCATTTAGTTTTGTAACGCAATCTATTGAGCTGAAGGACTGATGGTGATTAATAATCTTAAATGCATTTGTTAGCTCAGCGGCGGAGATCAGCTGCCACTTTGCTGTATTTGGTTTTACAAAAAAAGAAGAAATTTCTTTTGAAGTAGACGCCTCGCATAACCTTGATTTGTGCTTGGAACTGCCGATATGATCAAGAATATCTGAGCGACCACCGCGACCAATGGCAATAAAACAATCGCAAACTGTGCACAACGATTCATGTTCACTTCTCCCACATTTCATAAAAGACCATTCCTCTGTGTATGAGAGAAGGAATTTACATTTCCTTTTTGGCATTTTCTAAAAGTGGTTTAATGTATTATAAACATATCTATTTTATAAATTTTGTGAGAAAACTTACAATGAAATCAGAAACACTCAACTCGAACAACCAAATACTTAGCGCAAAACAAAAACAGCTGTAGCTAATTAGGAAGAACACTTTACATCGATAATCGATATATGTATACTATGCAATGTGCAACTATCTAGCGATGCTAGAGTTTTACAATTGAAGTCGGTAGTTGGTACTTTTATTCAGACTAGTTGGAGGGGCGCATTATAAGCAAACCAAATAGTTGGTAGATTTCATGGCTCCTTACAATCGATTAGATTTAAAAACCGGGACATTTTAGGGTTGGACCGGGACACCGGGACAAATGGCCTAAAACCGGGACATGTCCCGGAAAACCGGGACGTCTGGCAGTCCTACTCACCTGGTTACTCCAGCGATGTTTATGCTAGCCCGCTGATGAGAACATGTGTGGGGGGAGAGCGTAATCTACTGTACTATATATGTACATATGTACATACATTCATACACTACAGCAGGAGTACTATGATTTGGACGTTTGACCGGGTCGATCACTTGCTCGTGGTTGCGGGCATCGAGCAGGTCGATCTCTCAAATACGTAAAATTAAAATTAACAATGAAAAGGAAAATGTACAAGAGTACAAAAAAAAATATATATATATATATATATATAATACCAGCAACCACCACGTGGTGTCCAGCTGCAAGTGGCGAAAAAAAAAAAATTGGATAAAATCAATACATTTAATGACGCAACTAGTGAAACTAAGAATTCATTTGCATGCTAAATATGCAAAAACAATAAGAGTAGATGAGATTATGCGTGCGCGAAATAAAGAAAAAAAATATTACTTTAGTGATGAAAAACTATACAAAAAACTATTGAGCTATTGCTTGTTGGCAAAAAAAAAAATTTGAAGAGCGTGACAAGTAAGTTCGAGAAGCCGTAAGGGAGAATGAATAATACGAATCCAACAAATGCAGATATATAAGGTAGGAAATTCAAAATCAATAATTTAACCAAATAACTCCGCGTGGCAAAAATTCAATTAATATACCTACCAACAAAACTATGCATAGAAAATAAATTACCAAAATAATATACTTATAACTCTCAGTTATAAATAAGGGTAGAAATTGAAACAAAAAATTGAAGAAAATAACACCGCGAGTGCCAAGATTATCCCTAGCATACTAAGCAAAACTTACTAAACTTACAAGGTTAGCTAAAACTCGCATAAACAAGGATAGAACTTAAAAAA